TTGGTTCTATCTTAGTCCCTTTCTTATGGTAGTTTCAACATTTTTAAAAATTCTATATTCATTCTTGTATAGAGTATCTCAACCATATTCGTCTTCTTAGCTTCCTTCTTTTACCCTCCCCCTCTCATATGTGACCTCCCCTTAGCGTGACCTGTTTTTCATAATATTGCTGTGTTTGTATTATGTCTATATTCCATATATGAGAGAAAACATGCAGCTTTTGGCCTTCTGAACATTATTAACTTCACTTAAGATGATGTTCTCCAGTTCCATCCATTTATCTGCAAATGACAAAATTTCATTTTTTGTGTGTGGCTGAAAGGAATTCCACTGTATATAAATACCACATTCTCTTAATCCATTCATCAGTATTGGGGCATCTTGGCTGTTTCCATAATTTAGCTATTGTGAATGCTGCAAAAAACATGGACGTGAAGGTGCCTCTATTGTAACTTGACTTACATTCCTTCAGGGATAGCCTTAAGAGTGGAATTACTGGATCATATGGCAATTCTATTGTTAATTTTTTGAGGAGCCTCCATACTGTTTTTCATCGTGGTTTTACTAACTTACATTCCCACCAGCAGTGTATGAGGGTTCCTTTTCCCCCTGCATCCTCACCAACATTTTTTGCTGTTTGTGTTCTTGATACTAGCCATTCTAACTGTAGTGAGGTGGAATCTTAGTGTGGTTTTGAGTTGCATGTCATTTATGGCCAGTGATGCTGAGCATTTCTTCATGTGTATTTTAGCCATTTGGACTTCTTCCTTTGAAAAAGCTCTGTTCCGTTCATTTGCTCATTTCTTCATTGGGTCATTGCTTTTTTGGGAGTTTAGTTTTTTCAGGTCCCTGTATGTTCTGGTTATTAATCTCTGGTAAGATCTATAGCTGGGAAAGATTTTCTCTCATTCTGTGGACATCCTCTTCAATTTAGAGACCATGTCTTTTGTTGTCAGAAGATTTTTAATTTCATATGGTCCCCTTTGTCATCCCTTTTTCTTAGTTGCTGAGCAATTTCAGTTCTATTTAGGGAGTCATTGCTTATACCTATTAATTCCAATGTATTCCCTGCTCTTTCCTGCACTAGCTTCAAAGTTTCAGGTCTTGTATTAAGGTCCATAATCCACTTTGAGTTGAAATTTGTACTGGGTAAAAGACATGGATCTAGTTTCAATTTTCTGCAGCTATCCAGTTTTCCTTTTTATAGCTTCTTTGCTGAGGACTTTTTCTTTCCATTTATTTCAATAGTGTTATCCTTGCTTTGTGAAACATGACTAAATTAACTAGTTTTAAGTCTTTTTCTGATAATTCTAATATTTAGATAATCTCAAAATTGATTTGGCTTATTGTCTTTCCCCTTAAGGATTGTTTGTTTCCTGAATTCTTTATATGTTAATTAATTTTGGGCTGTTTCCTGGATATTTTGAATATTATGAGACTCTATGCTGCTTAAGTCTTCAGAATGTTTTTGATCTGTTTTAGCAGATAGTCAGTTTCTAGCCTCATACCACCCTGGCCAGGTATAGGTGGGCTGTGGTTCCAGTGTGTAGTTTTCAGCGCCTTTGTGGATCTATTCTAGTATTTGTCATTTGTGCACCATCCAGTGGTCAGTTTGAAACCTGGATGGTGCTCTATCGCACATGCACATTTTAGGAGTGATCCCAGGCCTTTATACATAGATTTAAAGGTTCCTTTTATCAGTTCTCTTCTATTTGTGATACAACCTACATTCTCTGGTTCACAGATTGCCATTCTTGGTGTTCTGACTAGAAAATCAGGTCTTTAGCCTCTCCACACCGTTGCCAGTGTTCCACCCTGCAGTGCTTACACCAGTGGGGAAAGAGATGAGGCAAGGCAGGGAAAGTGCATGAGGCTCCACTTTGTTAGACATGGTTCTACAGGTGAAGGAGGGGTGCTGCTGCTTTTCTGAAGCTTTCCTGAAATACTGTTTTTATCATCACTGAGTAAAAACAGTTTGACTAGCCGGGCACTGGTGGCTCATGCCTGTAACGCTAGCTCCGTGGGAGACTGAGATTGGGAGGAGTGAAGTTCAAGACCAGCCCAGGCAAAAAGTCTGAGCTTCCATGGCAACCATGGCTAGGCATGGCAGTGCACGCCTGTCATACCAGTTACAGCAGGAAGTCTAAAACAGGAGGACCACAGTCCAACAAGTCTGTGCAAAAAGTAAGACCCTATTTCCAAAATGATCTGAGCAAAAAGAACTGAAAGTGTGGCCAAGCACTGGAGCGATTGACTAGCAAACACAAAGTCCTGAGTTCAAACTCCAATACCAGCCCCCACACAAAAATAGTAGTTTGACAAAAGCAACAAACCCTTAAGATCCTAAATATAAACTAAATAACCCAAAGTAACTGACTTGGTATAACTGTATTCAGGTGTACTACATTTTGTTTAAGAAGTGAGGGGTGATTGGTCATTATGGAAAAACAGTGTGGAGGGTTCTCAACAATTACAAATAAGGACTGGAGGTGTTGCTCAAGTGGTAGAGCACCTGCTTTGCAAGTGTGAAACCTTGAATTCAAATTCCAGTTCCACAAGGAAAAGAAAAAAGAAATAAAAAAGAAAAATTATAAATAAAACTATTATATGATCCACTAATGCCACCACGTGAGTGTGTATCTAAAGGAAATGAAATGACTATGTCAAAGTGTATCTTCACCCCCGTGTTCATTGCATTATTTAAAGTAGCAAAATATGGAGTCAAGCTAATGTCCATCAATTAGATGAATGAATAAAGAAACTGTGGTATATACACAAAATGAAGCTCAGCCTTAAAAAGGAAGGAAATCTTGTCATTTGTAGTAACAGGGATGAACCTGGCAGACAAAGTATTATGCTAAATAAGACAGGCACAGGAAGACATTGCCTGATTTCACTTACATGTGGAATCTAAAAATGTTGAACTCAGAAGAGTACTCTCTGGTGGTTGCCAGAGGCTAAAAGGGTGGAGATGGAAAAACAAACAGATCAATCTGGACATACTGGTTAAGGATACAAAATTTCAGTTAGGAGGAATAAGCTCAAGAGATTTAAAACATAGGGACTGTAGTAGTAACAATGTATTATAAACTTGAAATAAAATGAGGGGAGAAAATAAGACAACACATTTTTATCTGCTGTCATTGCACCTAATCTTGGGATGATAGTAATCTTGGGATAAGTAAGGGCTGGAGTGGCTCAAGTAGTAGAGCACCTGCTTTGCAAGTACAAAGCCCTGAGTTCAACCCCAGTCCCACCAAAATAAAAACAAATAAAAATAACTACCTGTTGAGACTAAGGAGTGGGAACAACAAGGTAGATGCATACAGGTGCGAAGCAAAACTTTTAACAGTTACGTTTTAATATTTTTTTGATTTTTCAATCGTGTATTACATGAAACATTTTTTAAATCACAAAGAAAAAAATAAAACCAAGGATGAGCTGGAAGTTTAATTTCAAAATATATTATTTTAGAATGTGAGCCACACTACCAAAGTTAGGCTTTGGTATCATTTCACAGATTCTCAGGTTCTCATCTTATTGGTATGGCCATCCTCCTGGATTGTTTTCCAATCACACAGTCAAGATTCATCTCTCTCTTACAGCAATTAAAAACTTTTGCTGTATATTAATTATTTGTTTCAAACACTCAGCTCCAAGAGGGAAACAAGTGTTTTATTCATTTTGCAAACAATGAAACTTAATAAACTGCTCTGCACATAGCAAACACACAGACACACACCCAGTTTGTTGGATAGCTGTATAAAACAAAGGTGCTATATTTTGCTTCCTATTTCAAAATTCAGAGAAAAAGTTGTATTATAACATGTAAGACCAGCTAGGCACCAGTGGGTCACACCTGTAATCCTAGCTACTTGGAAGGCAGAGATCAGGAAGATTGCGATTTGAGGCCAGTCCAGGCAAATAGTTAGATCCTATCTAAAAAACAGCCAACACAAAAAAAGGACTGGTAGAGTGACTCATGTGGTAGAGTGCCTGCCTAGCAAGTTTGAGGTCCTGAGTTCAAACCCCAGTATTGCCCCCTCCAAAAAAATCATAAGACCAAAAACAGATCATTGCAGACTGAGTAAAGGAGTCATTCTATTTCTTTATACTTATCAAATTAAAATTAAGTACCAATGTGGAGAACATGACCAAATAAGTAGCAAATGCATTCAGAAATCTACATCTACAAAAATGCTTTAAAATGTGACTCTAAACTTAGGCACATAAATCCAATTTTTATTAACTGCAGACACTTTATGAAAACAAATCCAAAATTATCCCACCATTAAAGAGCTTTCAACCATTTGGTTATTTTAAATTAAGTTGAGAATTCATAAACTGTGCAATTACACTAAAAAATAAGTATATACTATACTGCAAAATAAATACACATTATACAAAGAAACCATAAATTGAGGTGGATATGCAACTGCCTTTATAGTACACCATTTGAATAATTTTCACAAATTATTGTATGTTATCATTTTATTTTAATATCAGCAACATTTTACACTGTTTATGAAGTAGTAATTTCCACAAGACTGATATTCTCCAAACTGTGTCTTTGGCTAGTGCTACAGATGTGATTCAGTTAGTCCTGAACAGATTAAACTCTTTGTTTCTCCTAGCTTGAGATCTTAGATCCTGAGTTACAGACTTGATTTGATCTACAAGTTGAGATACTTCATAAATATTTTTCTTACAATAGGACTATTTAGTGCAGCTTCTTTTTTTAAGATATACAATGAGTGTTTTTGATACAAAACATATATTCCGCATAAGAATAAAAAGGCATCAAAATAATCATTAGATTTTATATAACTTAAATGACACTTTTTCTTTTTTTTTTTTTATTATTTGAAGTAAAAAGGAAAGCTCTGTAACAGTTTCAAATACATAGACTTTAACTTATTTTAAATACCCTGGTATAAAAAAATAACTACCATATAAAGAATTTTAAATATGCAAAAGTAATTTGCTCATTAAAATTTATATTTCATACACTGGTGTTAATGAAAATATGTAGAGTTGTCAAAACTTTCTAAGGATTAACCTGAAAGTTAAAAAACCTGTTTCAGGCTTTATTTATTGCTACATAATGACTACTTCAGGGGTCATCTGGCCTGTCGTCAATCAATCTAAGAAGTGATAAATACAGTGGTATACTTTGGAAAGAAGAAGGAAAGTTAATGCACTGTGATACAAAAATATTACCTATTTATAAATTATTAAAGATTTATAAAACACATTCCAAATCATATGTTACTATAAAAACAATATATTTAAACATAGAAGCACAAAATCCTGAAGCACCCACAATTGTTTTAAGAATACCCATTTAATCAGGAAAAACAATATATAATAATTTGAAAAGAAAAAAGGCAAAATTCTGATTCAAATCTAAACAGAGTTTTTCTAATCATGGAGGTAGGACTCCATTCCATTTAAACAAATAAGTTATCAGCTTTATTCAAAGAATTATGTCTAAGATCTTGAAACTGCTCTGTGCCATTGGAATACATTTTTAACAGAGTTTAGAAACCAGAATTCTAACTGGCATATACACAAAACAGATACTCCTTCATAAGGTCACATCTGAAAAGAGCCTTCATTAAGATCACTGTTGTCATAAAGAGGTACAACTAAGCGCAGATACTTTGGCTTAATATTTAGATAACACAATAAATGCTACAAATTTCTTAAAGGCAGAAGAAATCCTTGTTATTTTAATACCTGTGTTAGGTGGAAAGCTTCAAAAACTGTAGATTCCTTAAATTCTTAAGATTATTCCTGCCTACAAAGCAAAGCTTGTATGTTTTAATCATCAAATTTGTGTTTGTGGCATTTCAGCTTTAGTACTAGAATAAGTTTAAAAGATCAGTTTGCAATATAAAATACAGCATATCATTTCACTAAAAAAGGTTTTCTATAATGAAAAATACTAACTCTATTTCTAATGGTAAACTAGAATTCGATGTCCCACCATGGATCACAGGTATCAGAGCACTATCGAGATCATTTAGGTAATGCTGTGGCAGAAGCTGGCCTTCACATCCTGCCTGAAATTCAACCTGGAAAAAAAAATCTTGATAGGGTAACTCTAGAAAATTAGCAATCTTGTTTATCTCGGCAGATAAATACAAAATTAAAATTTTTTAAATATTCAGTTTAAGCTTGTTAGTAAAATACTCAATTTTTTTTAAACTTCTCATTCTCCCATATCTTTTATCTACCTACTCCATAAAATATAACCGTCCCTCTCACAGATATCATATTAGCATTATACTTTAGGTTTTCTTTCAATAAATACATAAATGCACGAGAAGGCTGAGGCTTTTAATAATTACCAATATTACTTAAAATAATAATGGCATTTAAAATATTTCAAACTGTTGCTGGAAAAATAGTTAAAATTAGAATTTATTGTTGGTAAAAATTATATTTGACTAGAAAATACATCCAACTAAAAAAGAAAACATTAACAGTGCTTACTCAAATAAGCAATAGTTATAAGGAGCTTCCTTGAAAAGCAGGCTTTTAACAGTGTAATGAAAACAAAACTCCCTCTCTCCAGTAGGAAGTATAACATAGCTTGGCAGGAGAAAAGCAAACCAGCATATGAACCCATGCTTAGATTAATTTTTTTTTCAGTAGTGGGGGAGGGGGTTTGAACTCAGGGTCTTGTGCTAGCTAGCCAAGTGTTCTTCCACTTAAGTCACATCCCACCCCACGATTAACTGTTCTAATGAAGAATTTGCTTTGCAAATCTATCCTGGATGTTAGGAACAGTTACAAAATAAATATACCTAGTAGATATGAACAGAAAATTTAAAGAAAAACAAATAGGTCTTAAATATAAGATGAACATCATTTATTGTTAAGAGAAATATATATTGAGATGATACTGGTGTATCATTTGTCACCTAATAAATTGTCAAAGTTAAAAAATTTTATTAGACTGAGGAAGGTGTAGCTTAGTATTAGTACAGCACCTGCCTAGCATGCATGAGGCTCTGGGTTTGATCACCAGCACTAAAATATTTTTTTAAAAAATAGTTTAATTATATACTATTTTGATAAGGATGTGGGAGAAAGCTCTTTCTCAGAAATTGCTGGTGGAGATATAAATTAGTATATGGTAGTATCTACCAAGAACATACTTGGACCTGGCAATTCTCCTAGGAATTTCTCTTATGGCTGTACTCACATTTGTGCAAAAGCATAATACTGTCAACAACCTATATTTAAATCAATATACACCAAATAAGGCATGAAGAGCTAGTTAAATTATTATCCATTTATTTAATCAACTACTACTGTACAACTAGGTATTAACATGCACTATCTCCAGAATATATAAAAGCATGACAAAATGGTATAAAAGAGAGGAGACAAAAAGGCCACATACACTTATTTGCTTGTACATGTATAAAATCGCAGAGAATATGTAAGAAATGAGTAACACTGATTGCCTGAAGAGTCTGGAGGTGAAATAAAGAGTTGAGAGTTAAGGGTAGGAAGGGGATCTTTCCAGAGCTGTTGCCTTACATAGTTCTACTAGGAACCATTTACTTTATAATCTGGAGTTAGTATCTCCAAGGTCTACCAGCTACACAGAATACAGCGTGAATGTTGCTCTTTGGAAATGTTCACTGAGATTATCATTTTACATATATACTTTTAGACTTAAAATTTTAAATCACGTGAATGCAGTCAGAGTAAGTAAATTTAAAAACTGATCTGTTAGGCAGAATAGTCACAGGTCAGTAAACTATAGCCTGCAGGCCAAATGTGGTACTTCTGGGTAAAAGGAATTTCACTGGATCACAGCCACACTCATTTATTTGGATATTGACAATGGCTGCTTCCCACTACAATAACAGAGTTAACTGTGAGAGAAATTCTATAGCCTATACAATGCCTAAAATATTGACTGTCTGGTCCTTCACAAAAAAAATTTGCTGGCTTCTGCTGCGGAGATTAATAGACACATATATGTGAAATGTGTAGCACATATCTGATGCTCAACAAATTTTGGTTCAGGGGTTGGGGATGTACATCAGTGGTAGAGTGCTTGCCTAGATATGTGAGGACCTGGGTTCCATCTCCAGCAAACCCCAAAAATATAATAAAATATAAAAAATGTAAATAAATAAATATAAATAAATGAATATAAATAAAAGGTTAAAGAAAAACATTTTGATTATTTTAATATACAATATATTCATTTTAAAATAACACCAGCAAAAAAGGTCTTACCATATCAGTGTCAATGGAAACTCTGAGTCCAATTTTATTCATTCGATTACTCTTTAGAGTTTTCAGGTGGGGGCACAGTGCAGCGCTACAAGCCATGGCTATTTCTTTTGCAAACTGATAACAAGTTGGCAAAGTAGATAAATCCTGGTCCTTTAGAAAATAGAACACCTGAAATGCATTTAAGTAGGAAACAGTCATGATTAACAGTAACTTAAAGTGCAACAATTGCTGCTTTCAGTTTTAAAAAAATTCCAATGTTCCATGAACATCACTAGTTGAGAGCATTCTGTATCTACAGCCTAAATCTATACTATAAATAAAAATTTTAAATGAAGAATTGAAGATTATGGGAATGGCTCAGTAATTTTTGTCTAAAGTTGACTTGCATCAATGAAATCTTTATTAACTCTGAGAGTCCATACTATATGGATATCTATATGGAATTAAGATCAAAGAAATAATGTTCTATAGTTTCTATATTCTCTATAGTGCTATCTATCTTGCACATACATAAAATCACAAAGATTACATAAAAAATGAATGTGCTGACTGCCTAATCAGACAATACATGTAAGATGAACATCATTTATTGTTAAGAAAGATACATACTGAGATGATTCTGGTGTATCATTTTTCACTTATCAAATTGTCAAAGTTCAAAAGTTTTATCAGATGAGGAGGGTGTAGCTTAGTGGTAGTAGAGCACCTGCCTAGCATGTATGAGGCTCTGGGTTTGATCACCAGCACTGCAGGATGAGGGAATATAAAGAAGTAGACCACTGGGTTGGGAATCCATAGTTCTATAGTTTCATACTCTCTTATTTAAAAAAAAAGGAACATGCAAAAATAACTTTCATATATGAATGCTGATTATAATGTCAGTAGAAGATTTTATTTATTGTAACATGAAAATAATATGGTAAAATAACATATTATAGTACAAACAAATATAGCAATGTTGCCAAAACTTAACTATTAGTTTGTAGGCAGTACTACCATAATGACAGCCTAAAAACCCTATGGAAATACAACTCTTGCATGTAAGAGACAGTCTTGGGTGAAAATATGTGTTTCAAAGTATAAAGTAAAAAGTGTAATAAGCTTCACTTAAACATTCAGAGGTTGAGTACATACTATCTGCAAATTGAAAAATAAAACTTTTTCCATTACCTCAGTACATTTTACAATCTTCTCATCAGTTTCAAAATCTGTTTCAAGTTTTATTTTTTCACTTGGAAATCCTTGTAATGATATTCCATCCACTGAACTGATAACACTACAGAATAAAACATAATACGATAGGATTATTATCAAAGTGCTTTTTATGAAATGAATTAATAGATTTAAACAAATGAAATAAGAAAAATTGAGTTTTATAGTTAAAATGATGAAAATATATCTCAATTATACACAAAATAAATCTGTAGTTCATTTATCATAATTTCTTGATTACATAGTAATCTTTTCTTACTCATCAATAAACTATACTGTGCTTTTTCATATACTCAATTTGGGCTAAATTTAAAATAACTTAAATAGTCTCCTAACAGAAAAGCTGTTTCATGAATTCAAAAACTCCATTTTTTGTTGTTGTGTGTTTTTCAAAAACTCTATTTTGGAACCTGTTAAGCATTAGCCCTCTTTTTCCTTTCTTTGCTCCAAACCCCTGAGTCAATTTCCAAATTTAGAAAGACAATGGGTAACTGAAACATAGAAGTGCCAGTACTAACTGTAAGGTCTCTAATAATACACACACACACACACACACACACACACACACACACACACACACACATTACATATATATGTGTATTTATAGTACAGCTTATATTTATAGTAAATTAAAATAATTCACTCATCCAAAGGGGATCCTTACTTACTTGGCAAAAATATGGACTGACAGAAAAAGTGTACCTTCTCTCATCCCTGTTAGCAAGCCCACATTATTACCCAATGGATGTTTTAACATTGGACCCCTCCCAAAATGACCACCCATTAATAGCATCCTGACCAAAAGAAAAAACACATGAGGCTGGGTAGGTAAATGTCTGAAAAAAACCAGACTGTATTAATTAGAGTATAAACATTTAAATTAATGGCATAATTCTATACTCACTCATAAATACTTAAGTATATTAAAAGGAAGTTGTCCTTCCCCCTCCATCAAATCAACTACATTTTAGTAACAATAAATTCCTACCCTTTATTTACTTTTTCTTCAGAATCTACCCAGCAGATATCCACATATTCTCTCAGGTCTACTGCATCAACTTTCCCACAAGTAATTTTAAAGTCCTTTTGCTCTCGTAGAGCTAGCCGCAAGGCATCCATGGTCTCTGGAGTTATTTGAACCATTAAGCCATCTAAAAATGAGAGTTATGTTTCACATTTCATTTTCCAAATATCAATTTTATGCCTAAACCAGAAAATTTGTCAAAACATTTTCAGTGCAAGATATATGGTTTAAATCTTTTATTAGTCATCTTACTCATTTTCCACTAGGAAAATAAAAATATTTCACAAAGCTAAGGATTCTTTATTTTTAAGGGTAATCATATGAAAGATAAGAATTTATGCTCTGGCTATGAAAGAATAACTATCCAACAGCACACCAAAAACATTATATATTAATAAGTAAGATTCATCCTAGAAATGCAAATATAACTTGACATACACAAATTAATAAACATTATGTCACATCACCTGAATAAAGAACAAAACCACACAATCATCTTAAGAGATGTGGAAGAAGCTTTTGATAAAATTCAACATCTCTTCATGATAAAAACCCTCAATAAATTAGGTAATAAGGAATGCATTTCAGCACAATAGAGGCAGTCTAAAACAGCTAACATTGTACTGAAAGGAGGAAAGCTGAAACCATTTCCTTTAAGATCAGGAACAAGATAAAGATGTCCATTTCACCACTCTTCACACAGTATTGAAAGTTTTAGCAACAGCACAAACAAAAGAGAAAGAAAAAAAGGGGGCATCCAAATAGGAAAGGAGGAACTCAGATAATCCATTTGCAAACTACATGATTTTATAAATAGAAAATCTTCTACCAAAAAACCCGTTGGAACTGATTACCAAATTCAGTACTGCTGCAGGACATAAAATTAGCATACAAAAGCAAGTAGCATTTTAAAATACCAATAACAAGTTTGATGAGAACAAGAAGGAATAAGTTTAATCAGTGAAGTGAATAATTTCTACAATGAAAGTTTCAAGACACTAATGAAAGAAACTGAAGAAGACACAAAAAAAATGGAAAGACATTCAAGCTCATGGATTGGAAGAATATTGTTAAAATGTCCATAACATCCAAAGCAATTTACAAACTCATCTAAATATCAGTGGCACTCTTAACAGAAATAGAAAAAACATTCCTAAAGTTCACATGAAACCACAAAGGACCTTGAATAACCAAAGCAATCCTGAACAAAAAGAACAACGCTGGAGGCATCATGATACCTGCAATCAAAGCATATTACAAACCAATAGTAAACCCAACAGCATGGGTTATAATAATAACTGACATACAGACCAATGGAACAGAATCGAGAACTTAGAAATAAACTCACCCATCAAAAGCCAACTGATCTTCAGCAAAGGTGCCAAAAACATACATCAGAAAAAAGAGTCTTTTCAATAAATGGTACTAGAAAAACTGATATCCACATGCAAAAGAAACTAGAGATCTTCTACCATGTATAAAACTCTACTCAAAATGGATCAAAGTCCTAAACTGGAACTAGGAAGCTACTAGCAGGAAAATATACAAGAAACACTTCAAAATTTCTGTATAGATAATGATTGTTTGGGATAAGAACCAAAAGCACAGGGTAACAAAAGTAAAAATAAACACATATCAAACTAAGAGGCTCCTATACAACAATGAAAGCAACTGGTAAAGCGAAGAGACAACTAGCATAAATATTTACTATTTATCCAACCAGTGATTAATATCCAGACCATACAATATCCAGAACTCAAAACATCAATCGTCTGAGATTGAGTTTGATTGAAAAAATAACAACAGCAAAAAAACCCTAATCCAATGCTGGACATGGTGGCACATGTTAGTAACCCTAGCACTCAGAAGGCTGACTCAGAAGGATCATGAGTTTGAAGCTAGTCATGGACTACATAGTAAGTGCAAGTCCAGCACAGGCTACAGAGCAAGACCTTGTCTCAAACAACAAAAATCCAATTAACAAATGAGCAGATAATCTGAGGACATTTCTCAAAAGCAGATTATATAAAGAGCCAAAAAGTGTATGAAAAATGTTCAACATCACTAGTCACCAGGGAAATGCAAATCAAGCCACCAAAAGATATCATCTTACACTAGTCAGAATGGCTATAATCAAAAAGACAAAAAAACCAAAAATGCTGATAAGGATAGGGAGAAAAAGAAACGCCTCTAATTAATTTATTTTGTGTGATACTGGGGACTGAATCCAGGCCTTACACATGGAGACACTGTACACCTATGTTTATTACAGCACCATTCATAGTAGTCAACAGATTAGACACAGATATGTGGTATATATATATATATATATATACACAATGGACTATTACTCAACCAGAAGAATGAAATCCTGTCCTTTGCAGAAACATGGATGGACATGTTAAGTGAATAAGCCATGTCCATAAAGACAAATAGCACTTGTTTTCAATTATATGTGGAAGGCTAAAAAAAAAAAACAAAACAGCTGATTTCAGAAAAGTAGAGGTAAAATACTGCTTACTACAGGTTAATAAAGGTAGGAGGTAGAGGGGATAAATAGAAGTTAAATAACAGGTACCAAAATACAGTTATAGATGGAATACATTTTAATGTTCTACATGCAGAAGGGCAACTATAGTTCACAACCATTTTTTATATATTTTATAAAGAACTATAAGAGAGAAATTTGAAGTTTTCCAACACAAATAAACGATAAATGTTTAAGGAAACTGAAATGTTAAGTATTCTGATTTGATCATTACATATCACATATGTAACAAATTGTCACACTGCACTATACATAAATACTAATAATTATATGTCATTTTAAAAATAGAGGAGGAGGAATCCACAATACGTAACATTACATAAACTACAAGTTAGTTAGAAAAAAAGATACACGACCCAGTATAAAAATGAACAAAAACTGAATGGTCATTTCACAGAAGAGGTCACATATGTGCCCATTAAATATGTAGGAAGATGGTCTACCAATTAGTAAATAGGAATATGTTAATAATGACCATATGCAGAAATACCTATCAGATTCACACAAAATAAGTAGTCTGATAACACCATGTGTGGAGAATATGCAGACCAATGAGAAATCTTACACCTTGATGGTAATATAAACTGGTCCAAATACTTTGGAAAACAATTTAGCAGCATCTTATACAACTAAATGTTTACTAAGCTAATTGGCCCAGAAATTTCACTTCTAAATATATATTAGGGAAACTTCTGAACATATGCTCACGGCCAACATATATACATAAGAATGCTATTAGTACCATTGTTTGTAATAGTAAAAAACAAGAAACAATCCAGAAGCTCCTTATCAGGAAATAAACTGTCACACTTTTATAAAATATTTAATACCACTGAAAATGAATAAGCTACAGTCACAGGCAACGACATGCATAAATTTTAGGAACATGAATAGCATTGTGTGAAAACAGTAAGTTTCGAATGATAACAGTATTATAAACCTAAGTAAGCATAATTAAGTATTATGTTGTTTAAGTGTATGTACATACAAATAAAAAATGTTAAACAACATTTTTTAATGTTGTAAATGTAAAGATAGTATTAAGTCTAATAGCTAATTGTTGGAGGGAGAAGGAAGGCCAAAGAAGATCCAAAACTGGTGATGTTCTAGATCTTGGGTTGGATGATAATTTCACATAAGTCTGTGGTACTGTTCTTTATAACTTAAATATATTCTTTTTGTAAGCATCAAATGTATATTTAAAGGTAATGGAAAAAGAATTTTACATTAAAACAAAGATGAAGCTCATACCTTCAACTATGCTGGACTTAGCAAGAAATCCTGATGATGTTTTTAGAGCACCATTGAATACCACAAAACTTGCACCTGTCACTGATAATGAAACATAACAATTATTTATGTGTTATCTTTCTTAAAGTTATGTGATATTTTTTGAAACTCACATTTTACGGACTCAACAAATTTTATGCTATAAAATATTAGAAATCCAGTAAAAGCCACAGCAAATAAATTTAAGATAAATATTGCAGAAAAATAATTTTATGTTTTTATCTAATAAATGATGTATTGTTCTATTTAAAATGTTTGTGCCTGTGTCAGTGAGGGTATGGGAAATCAAACATTCACGACTGGGGAGAGTATAAATCAGAACAGCCTCTATGAAACCCACACTTGATAAATGCACATTAAAATTACAAACAAATATAACCTTTGACAACCAATTCCACCTCTAAGAACTTACCCTAGAGATGGGCTCAATGGTGTATAAAACAGCATGTGTACAAGGTTATTTGGAGTAGCATTTTTATAAATAACTGAAAAGTTGTAACAATTTATGTCTATTAATAAGGGACAGTTAAATGATGGGCACATATAAAATGGAAAGTTATGTGAAATGTGAAAGCTCTTTACCAACATAGAATAATCACTAAGAACTATTAGAAACAACAAAAACAAGGTGAACAATGGAACAAATGTTATAACTTGTCTTTAAAAATGGGATAAAAACATGATGTGAATGCATATATGTATTTGTCTGAATACATATTAAAGCAAAAAATGTCTGAAAAATATACCACAAACTGATTAACATTGGTTTGGTGACTGTGGGAGGGTTTAAGAGGATGGCTAGGTAGTTATGGGGAACAAAGAAGAGGTTTTTTCCATTATGGTGTAAATATTTATACCATTTGAATTTTATCTAAGTACCTACTCAACAAATATTTTAAAAAATCATTAAATTTAATGACAAAAATGCCAATTAAGTGTTAAGTAAAAAAGCCCAATTCAAAAATATAAGTATTAGTATAAAATTATCTATTAATAGAAGAAGGAAATATAGTAAAATGTCACTATGGCCTTATCTTGTTGGCACCTTTTTCTTTTTCTACTTTTCAAAGTATATTTTCTAAGCTTAATGCAAATGAGTATGTTACCTTTATAATCAGAGAAAAAAAATTTTTGTTAGCAGCCAGAATATCCGGTTATTTTAAATATGTCTTCCTATAATAATGTATTCATTTTATGGAATACTTACTTCAACTTAACTTTGAATTTGTTAGCCCCTCTACTGCAAGGGTCTGCTAACCACAGCAGTCACTGAGGCCACTCAGCCACCGCTGAGCATAGCGTCACTCACAGATGCTGCTCATTCCACCATCTTTGTATCCCCAGCCACTTACAATTTTACAAATCATTCTTCATCCTTGTCTACCTTGTGCCCCCTCCCCCAAACTAAGAGGAGTTGGAGCAGAGGCTGAGCAAATGTGAAAAAGTCAGATTCCCACACTGTGGAATACACTAAACATGAAGATACCAAAAAGAATAGTCTTCCAAGCCTAACATAGCCAGAAAGAAAAACACAAATTAAAAATTAGAAAGCAGTTCTATCAATCTGCTATTTATGAAGCTGAAATTTTAAGCATATAGTTTTAGTATAATTCAGCAAATAAGTAAAATATATGTATATTTCCCCCTTTGAAATGAGTTATAAGAACTGAGGTAGCTTTATACATTATACCTAGGAGCCATGACTCTTACCTTTTCTAGGATGGCCAGTAGCACTGTTGGCTTGTGTTTGATAAACTCCGTCATTCTGTACACAGACTAGATGAGAATCTGCTTCTGTACTAAAACTAGCTCCAATGCTAATGACATGTTCATTAGAAGAATTTATTACTTTCATTACCTGGAAAAAAGTAACCACAACATTTGTTTAGAAAAACTATTAACATTTTTTTAAATTTTTATTTTATTCGTATGTACATACAATGTTTGGATCATTTTTCCCCACTCCACTCCACCCCCCCAACTCCCTCCCTTATTCCCCTTTACCCCTCGCTACCTGGCAGAAACTATTTTGCCCTTATCTCTAATTTTTAGAAAAACTATTAACATTTTGTGCCTATTCTAAGAGACATTACTGACCAGCTCTGTAATTTACAGGCTGTGGTCTAAACAACTCCCTGGGAATATGACAGAAACCAGTATTTTATAACAGTTACCTCAATTAATGGATAAAACAATAAGGGAAAAAGTTGAAAAAATGGGATTCAACAAGTTATTAACAAATACTAAAATTGCAATTTTGTATTTATTGCCACTGTATATGAGATTGCCTAATTCAAAACAAAAAATTAAATTGTACACAATTCTAGAGAACTCTAATGTTCAACATTTGTCTTTAAAATTTGAATAAACCAATTATACTTACATCACTGTATTTCTTCCGAGGTATTTTTATACAGCTTTTCCCCATTTCCATATGAATCAGTAGTTGGTCTATATTATGCAAAGTATACTGGTAGTTTCGAAGGTCCTACGTAAAATAATCATGGTTCCATTAACCTTAAACTATTGACTATGAACATTTGCCATCCATTAAATCTTTTTTTTAGTAACTATCATTTTTAAGACTCCTGACACAGAACTATCAAAATCATCCAGAAAGCCAGTACCAACTTAAAAAAAAAAATAACCAACCTTTCAACTACTCTATAATAATAATAAAGAGTATCTATCATTCTCAAGAAGAATTCTGTAGTGTTGGGGACATCCCCTCTTTCCAATTCCAGATCTTCCAAAATAGAAAAGGTCTCTGGCTATGGTTTTTATAAAACTATCCCCCAAAGGCCTATGCACTAAACATCTGATTACCAAGCCTACGGTGCTATTGGGAGGTGGTGGAACCTTTGGAGGTAAGGCCTAGTGGAAGAACGTTAGGTCCTTGGGGATGTGTCCACAAAAGGGAGACTAGAATTCTAGTTCCTTCCTGTTTTTCTGTCTGCTATCCAGTCACAGTAAAGTAAGCAGACTTCCTCTGTCAAGTGCTCTGGTACCATGTACAGCCTCAAAGCAAAAGTGCCAAAGTGACTATGGACTGAAACCTCTGAAACTATGGGTTAAAATAAACCTTTCCTCCTTATAAATTGATTACCTCAGGTATTTTGTCAAAGTAACAGAAAGCTGACTAACGTAGCCTTAAAACCAAACATGGATAAACGAAAGTCAGTTCACTAAATGCCTTTCTATGACAAGTAAACAAACAAACAAAAATTATAGATAGGAGGGAACCTATTATAAATGAGGAAACTAGAGTCATAATTTGCTCAAAATCACAAAACTAATTGACTTTACTAAAGCTTCAGTAATTTTAGAGTTCTATATAGAGATCTCACATTATCTAAATATGTAAAACTGCAGCAAAACTAATCAAAACACAGTCAGAATCAGAACGTTCTTTAAAAAGCAATTCATCAAAAACAAAGCCTATTTATGCTAAATGAATTAGGATTTACTATAAATGAGTCTTCATTATACCAAACATGCCAAATTAAAACAGAAAAATGCACTGGGTAAAATCTGTTAAATAAACATTTACAGTAACAATATAAGAACACTTAATATTAACAGTTCGTTTACTCACCACAAGTAAGTTCATAATAGTGTGTCCTATTTCTCCAAAGAGAGGTTTTCGGCCCCTAATGCTTGTTAGAGGAACAGGATATGCTACATATAAGAAAGAAGAACTGGTAACTATCAATAAGACCTCTCCTCCCCCACCAAAAACAAAAAGTTTTAAGTTTATTATTTTCATTCTCATTTTTTAAACAAACATAATACATAAATACCACCCAGTCAGTTCTTAGGGAAAAGTGAAAAATGACATTAACTAATTATCTTACTTAAATCTATAATAATCCAATGAGTAAGTAGTCTATATCTATTTATAGATTAGAAAGTTGAAACATAAAGATGAATAAACTTGCTTACAGAAAGTAAATTAAATGGTGAAACAGATTTCAAAGTAGGCTTGGCTGATTCCAAAGCATTAGTCATGTCATTATACATGTTGCTTCCACAAAACTATGGCAGGTAGAAAATTACAATAATTGCTTAGGTCCCTATAAAATTCTGGTAATTTGGAGAGAAATACAAAACATTAAAGACTTTAAAGGCATGCACAGTTAGTATTCAATTGTGCTGATTTATAAATGTTAATAAACTTTTATAGTCTTGGATCAGCCTGACAAAAGGAGCACACAGACTGAAAGAAACCAATGGAGAAGAAGTGGAATGGATGTGGGGCCAGTTACCTAACTACTTTTTCTTTAGGGCACAATAAATACTGAACATAGAAGAGAAAAAAACACCTTGCTGGCAATGCAGCATGCACCTTGAAAGAAAAGGAAGATGAAAAAAGGAAGGCAAGATTTTTTTCTACACTGATAAAACCTTCACACATTTTTAACCTTTAGTCTTCAGCTTAGGTCATAAGCAAACTAAACTTTCTAATACCTATTAAAACAAATATACTTCCTTCTGGGAAAACACTGCATACCTGACATCTACTTTAAAGACTTAGGTCAGAACAACCACATCTGCTATCATAAACATATTTTGTAAATTTAAAAGGGCAACTAAGTTATTTGGAGGTCAGAGGGTCTAGCCTAATAAAAAAACATAACATTAGCATTAAAAAACATTAAAATGACACGATATGCTTAAGATAAATGCTGACTTTTTACCTCATCCTTTTGTAAGTGAGGAACATTCTCACAAACTGTTAGAGGTAATTGTATTTAAAACACTATTCCCAACAGGTTGTGGCTTAGAATCATATGCTATCATACAAAGGGACCTTATAAATCATCTAATCCAATTTATAATAACATTCCAGACAGATGGTATCAACATAAAAGTACAGACAATCACCATTTGAAAAGCACTAATTTTAAACAGTTATTTTCAGTCTTTAATTTGGGGGCTTTAACTTTTGCCATTGGCTTTTTGACATGTACATTATCTCTATACCAAAATTCAAGTCATGTCTAAAGAGGTATGAGCACCACAAATTTCAAAATGCTAAGTCTATCTAAAATTTAGCAGGACAGGGCTGGTGGAGTGGCTCAAGTGGTAGAGTGCCTGCGTGAGGTCCTAAGTTTAAACTCCAATACCACCAAATAAATAATAAAATAAAATACAACTCAGCAGAACATAAAGAATAGAATACAGAAAATAGCTAAGAGTACTTAATTTCCACGTATAATAGATGATTTTCCCTCATTACCATTAATCAGCTGCCATAGCTTTGCAATTTCAACCCCTGTGATCTTCCAAATTTCAGTGTAAGAAAATCAATCTTATTATTTATAGGTGCTACTGGCCAAAATACTTACAGACTATATGTCCTATAATGCTTTATGATTAACTAGTATATTGACTTACTCATCCATAAAAATAGCATTCAAATATCAGAAATAAAATATTAGGCTGAATGCAGGAAATGCTTAACTCAAAATGAAATACCTTAAGCTCTTTGGCTTTCATAGGAAAAAAAACTCAGATAAAAGTTAAATTTGTTATTTTTTTTTTTACAAAGTTAATAGAATCATATACTTAGATCCTAAATGGTAAGAAACCTCTATCCTAAATGTTAAATAAATCCTAACAAAGTTAAATAAAATTTGTCAAATAGAGAAATTTAAATTAATTTTCATTTTCATTCAAATTGCCCACTCTCAAACAGAAATGATCAGTTTTATATCTTCTTTACATTTAAGTTTCCTCTAAGAAAATACCTAATAAATTATTTAGAAATAAATGTTTAAAATTCATCAGCTATGATGTACTACACATGCAACAAATACACTATTTCTTCAAAATACTCAGGAATAAAGATATGGAAAGAATTCAACAAGTCGAACACTAGAAATGATTTTGAAATTATAAAACTAACAATATACAAAAACCTAGGCCATTGCAACAGCTTTTAAATTTCTAGTTGTGTATATATGTAAACGCACACATATATATAAACAAATAGCTTCTATCATTTTATTTATTTATTTATGATACTGGGGTTTGCACTCATGGCCTCAAACTTGCTAGGCAGGTGCTCTACCACTTGAGCCACTCTCCCAGTCCCACTTGTATCATTTGAAAATAATAAACTGAAAATCAGAAATATAAAAATAAGAACTTAAAGCTTAGAAAAATGGTAACCGCTATTTTTAAGAACTTCTTTCTCTAAAAATAGCTAACCCCTTGGGTTTTTTTGTTGTTGTTACTGTACTAGGGTTTGAACTCAGGGCCTCATGCTTGCTAGGCAGGTGTGGTAAATTTGAGTCACTTCACTAGCCCTTTGTGTTGGGTATTTTCAAGGCATGGTCTCTCGAACTATTTGTCCAGGCTGGCTTCCAATCTCAAGCCTCCTGATCTTTGACTCCTGAGTAGCTAGGATTACAGGCATGAGACACTGGCATGAAGGTTAACGCATGATTACAGTCAGCAGGTGAATGCAATAGCACTGATAATCTAAAAATCTTTGTTTGGCTTTATAATACAGACAAATTGAAAGGGACGATAATTTATTTACCTTCTTAAAATGTACGTAATATAAAAAACTCAGTAATACATAGTTTTAAGAAAACTTTAACAAAGGTAATACTGTCAAAGTTTTCTATGTTTTGTTTTGAAGTTTAAAAAAACATTTAAGGTTAGTTGCTATAATGTATGAATGTCTAGAAACTTCATGACTTACCAATGTTGTCTAGATTAACTTGGTATACCAAATCAAAAGCAGTTCCATTAATCTGTTAAATTTTTATTTTAATGATTTCCCTGAAATTCTTATTTTACATTTGGTGTATTTGAAAATATGTAATTTCATTTATTACTCTCAAACTTACCTTTATATTCAGCTCCCAATCTCAACATTAAACGCATAGGAAAAACTTTGGCCCAAGGAATCTCCAGCTTCTGGATGAGAATTCCACAAAGAAAAGGACTACTTGGTAAGGGGAGATCATCAAGTTTCTGAAAAGTAGGTGTAATAAACAGAAATCCTCCATGATCCTTGCTATTGAGAAAACTCTCAGTAAAAGTGATATTGTCCAAGTTTTCTATGTATTTTCCTGAAAAAAAAAATTATTTGAAAAGATTATAAGTTGTTATTTTGTTATTGTTTTGGCAAAACATTCTGAGTTTGAAATGTCCCAAAATAAATTTTCTCAAGCAAAGTCAATGTAGATTTCTTTTTTCTTATTTCTTCTCTTTTGTTCTCATTCTCTTTCTCTCTCTTTTTGCAGTACTGAGGCTTGAACTCAGGGCCACACACTTGTTAAACACTTGAGTCATGCCCCAGCACTTCTTGTTTTAGCTTTTTTTTTTTTATATACAGTCTCGCAATTCTGCAAAGAACTGGTCTTAGACTGTCATCTTCCCACCTACGCCTCCCTCATAGCTGGGATCACAGATTTGTGTCACTACGGTTGGCATACTGATGAAGATAGGATCTCACTAACTTTTTTGCCCAGGTTGGACTCAAACTGCAATCCTCTGGATGTCCACCTCCTGAGGAGCTATGATTACATATGTGTACCACCATTCCCAGCCTTCTTATTTCTACTCTTAAAGAAGCATCAAGGCTGGACGTGGTGGTACACCCTTGGAATTCCAGATACTCAGGAGATGGAGATTGGAGAATCGAGGTCCAAGGTCAGCTCAAGCCAAAAAAAAAAACTGAAATACTTTATCAAATAAGCAATCTAGGTGTGGTGGCCCATGCTTATAATCCCAGCTACTCAAGCAGTAGAAGAAGGAAGATCACAGTCTAAGGCCAGCCCTGGACAAAAAACACAAGACACTATCTGAAAAATAACTAAAGCAAAAAGGGCTGGGAATGTGGCTCAAGTGGTAGAGTGCTTGCATATCAAGAGCAAGGCCCTGAGTTCAATCTGTACCCACCTCCCAAAAAAGCATATACTGAAATCTATAGCATATATTGTTATAAATGGTAAGAAACGTGTACATTAAAAAAAAATCAAGGATCTGAATGCCAGTGGTTCATGCCCATAATCCTAGCTACTTGGGAGGCTTAGGTTGGGAAGATGGTGGTTTGAAGCCAGCCCAGACAAATAGTTCTACTGATCCCATCTTCAAAATAACCAGAGCAAACTGGACTGGAGGTGTGGCTCAAGCAGTAGACCACCTGCTTTGCAAATGTGAAGTTCAAATGCCAATCCCACCAAAAAAATAAATACATACATACATACATAAATCAAGGCAGCAGATATTTCTATTTTTTAAATTAAAAAAAAAACTATACACAGACACTAATCAAATAAAGGGCTACATTTAAGTGCCCTAATAATCATTAAAAATGATTAAGTGCTTTTATGAAATCAGCCATCTCTTCATAGCAATGAGTTATAAAGAGTGCCAGTGAGGCGAACTTTAGTATAATTAGCATAGTCAAAAGCATTAATTCCTTTAACTTAATTCCTCCAGTCTGAACAGTTCAAAATAGAATGCCATACCTTTTAGAGCATTCTTATACATGGTGATGAAAAGTTTGAAGATGTCCTTAGGAACTGTATCTTCATTTGGCAAACATAACAACAGGATAATAATTTCTGCTTGTCCCAAGCCATGCAATCCATTGGTTGAGAAATACCAATATTTATCTGAGGAATCTTGAGTGACAAAAGCATACAATTATAAATGTCAACTTCTATTAATCTAAGAAACTAAAAGTTGCTTTTGCATGAAGCACAACTTTTCAAATTCCTTATTTTCTCAAAATTCTCCTCACAAAAACTTTGAATTGTGTAAGACTCATGTAACAAAAGAAATAAGATTATCATAGGAAGTTAAGGAATAAGTAACACTAAAGATGCATTAATGCTAAAGTACAGTGGGTTAAAATTGTTAGTTTTAAAGAGAATGAGAAGCTAATAAATGCATTATTAAGTAGTGAGGATTATTTATTTCTGAGGATTATTTGCTTCCTTTTAATGACATGTTACATGTCATTTACTTTAAAATTGTCTTTATTGCTACTAAGTCACAATTCCTGCTTATCTCATTTATTAATAAAAACCCTTCAATTTATCTAAAAGCTACAGGAGATATGGTTAATTGTATAGTAAGCATCAAAATATACCTCAGCTATAAGGCCACGACCCTAGCCTAGGATGGAGTAAGGGATGCTACTTAAAACCTGTAGCCTTGTATATCAAGTACCACTGAATATATAGTTACACAATTTAGTTATAGTCGTATTTGGCAAAAAAAAAAACCAATATTCAATGCTGCTTATTTTTTCACTATTTTCATTCAAAATCTAGTTTCACAGAAGTCTTGCTTAGCAATTAAGCAAAGAAAGAGGCATCTTGACTTACATAATACTAGTTTGACATTCACAAGTAGGTTAGCATTTAGGACAAATGTGACAGGATGAAACTCTTCACCTTCAAGAAGCAACATGATCTGCTCGTGAGATGGCTGTTCTTGTACTACAGACACTAAACAATAGAAGTAATATATCAGTCAGGATATATATCCTCTTAAATATGCTAATAATGAAAAAAAAACCAAATGCATAAATCCACAAATTTAAAAACAAAAGGAAGCATGTTTCATAGAATCAATCAATATGCTGTACAACTGTTCTACACTTAGTTTTATCTTTCTATCTAGTATAGTGATACTGTAATACGTGATGTATCTTATGTAGTGTATACACAAATGTCTTGATTAAACAGTATATATGTAAAATTTTAGCACCTCCAAAGTTTTAAAGCACTTTTGTCAAAAGTGCATTTTAGTTTGCCAGTCACTCCAATTCTAACTTCTGAAATATACAAATATGTGAAAGTTATATGCCTGTACCAATGACAGGCAGTAAAAAACAAAAACAAAACTTGACAATCAATAAGAAAATTTGTATGACATGCAAAGAACAGAGCTTGATGTATTTTTATCTCTACAGCTAAGTTTAGGAAAAGGCCCCTATAGACATACTAAGAACAAAGATCCTAAGCTTCATTCCCCCCCATTATCATACAGAGAACCAGCACCTCATGTTTCAGGATGCAACATAAAGCCTGGGGTGGTATCTATCCTAGGCAACCACTCTGAAGTAGGAGCTAGCCACATAATCTTTAGCTTGAAAAGGACCTCAGAGATAATCTGTTTTCTCTTCTTTTACAAAGGAAAATGAGGCCCAATGAGATTACATAACATGCTTCAAGTCATACATGTAATAACTAGCAAATGAGGAACTAAAATCCCTAGTTTTGTCATCCAATCTAATACTGTTTTTCTATAGGTACCATACTTAAAAAAAAAAAAAAGATATAGTAACAAAACCCTAATATAATGGAAACATTTTTAAGTCTCAGTTTCCCTATTGTATGGCTCTTTGACTCATTCTAAAATTTAAATCATTTGGGATTTGTTTTTATATAACAAGACTTTTTGTAAACTGAAGTTATCAGCCCTAGTACATATTATAATAATATTGTCTAATAATTAAAAAAAAAAAAAAAATAGGCTGGGGGTATGGGTCAAGTGGTAAAACACTTGCCAGCATGCTTGAGGTCTTGAATTTAACACCCAGTGTTGGTGGGGAAGGTCAAGTGCACACAAATGCATTTCATACATTGCACAAAAAATTCATCAGTACATTCTTTTAACTTTTTTCTCTTTATATTTTAAGTAACCACTATCCTACCTGATCCCTCTTCTCTGGATGCAACCAAAAGCGGAGGCAAACTGTCCTCATCGTCAGGTAGAAGACTAATCTTATTACGAACATACTTGTCAACAGCACACAATAACCTATAATCTGAAATACTAGCAACAGCTAAATTGCTGTTAAGTATGACACCAGTTGGATTAGATGGCCCCTCAATTTCTGCAAAAACATCATCATCTAGAATAAAAGAACCAGAAATTGGTAACCCTTCAGTTCCTATGTTTATAGGCAATTTTTCCACAGATGAAACATGAGAAATAGGACTCTGAATTATCTCATTTCTTGTAATGTCTCCTATTTCGTTGTTTGGGTTTCCCACCGTTGTAGAATGAGTATGATTCCCTGTATTTACAGTCTGTAAAATACAGAATAAAAAATTAAATCAGTTCACATTCTCTGTTCAACAGTGAAATGTTGATCTCTATAACCAAACATAGCTTTTTAATAAGAACAAATAAAAAACCAAATAGGTTAGTAAATTCTTCTGAAGTCAATTTCCTTAGAAAGAGTACAATTTTACTTCAAGTTTTAGGAGCATAGGGCATTAAAAAGCATAAGGATTTATTTTACTGTACAATTAGATAGGTATTAATGACATATAATGGTTTATATAAAGATTATATATTATTGGGGGGAAGTGAGGTGACACAATGTATATACATGTAAGTAAATGTAAAAATGGTAAAATAAAAGGAAGAAAAAGATTATATATCATTACATATTATATAATGACAGAATAATTATAGACTGCAAAATGAGGCAGGAAGTTGAGGATCCTATACCATGTTACATAGTGAGCAACTTAGTTCAACTCAAGGCCTCTCCTCTTCTTATGCCAGTCAAGAAAAGCACTGGGAGGGTAAGGGAGAATGAAAAAGAGGGAAACAAGGAGGAGGGAGTGGTAAGGAAGCAGAGTGGTAGATATATTTCATAACAGCAACCACCTAGTAGTAGTACTATTACTACTGCTTCAAGATAGCCCTTTCTTTTTAGACTACCCAGAATAAATACTTCTTCGGTTTTTTCTGGTTTTTTTGTTTGTGCAAAACAGTAGCAAAGCTTTATGGAAAAAAGGGGAAAAAATAGGCATGGCAAAAGAAAAAGCAGTGGGCCCTGGCCAGGTGGCACAAAGGTCAGAATAAATATTAAATGATAACAAATAAGACCTCAAATGATATTTACTAGGCTGTTTATGATTGTCATTTTGTTGAAATATTGATTAAAAGTAGGTGCTAGCAACATACATTTGGTAATATGCCTATATATTAAATCTAGTTCAAGAACTCTTACATTACAAATTGCATAGATTATGTATCTTCTATTTAAACCAAGCACATTTATGCAAATGCAAGCATAAATATTACAATGTGATACTTTCCTGAACATTTGAAAACCATTAAATTAAAGGAGGGGGTGGGGGCAGTGGGGAGAAATGAACCAAGCCTTGTATGCACATATGAATAATAAAAGAAAAAAAAAAAAAGAAAACCATTAAATTACTATTAGTCTAAATTAAATTACTAATTCTCAGTTACATTTCCCTACACCAAGGATTCTCAAAACGTGATCCAGGGATACCTGGGGTCCCCAAGATCCTTTCATTAATCAATGAGGTCCTAGGATTTTCTTTATATAATTAATGAATACAACATATCACAACACACTATATGTAGAAGCAGATGTAAGAATCTGTTTTCTATTAAGCCAGATGAAGAAATTTGCAAAAACTTTTTTTTGTTGTTTTTTTGTACAAAAACTTAAACTACTCTTCTTACGAATTATTTGTTATTAAAAATACTATTTTTCCTAAAAATATTATTTCTATTAATTATTTTTAATTAGAAAATATTTTTAAATGTTCTCAATTTTAATTTTAAATACAGTAATCATCAGTAAGTATAACTCATACAACCTATAGCTCTTTAGGGTTCTCCATAACTTTAAAGAGCATACTATGGTCCAGAGACCAAAAAGTTTGAGAACCATTGCCTTAAACTAACATTAAAAAAATGGTAAAATCTAAAACACATTTACTACTTCACTATATCAATAGAGGCATATGTCAGAGATATTGTGGACACAGTTCTAGACCACTGCAATAAAGCAAGTCACTTGAATTTGTTGGTTTCCCAGGGCATACAAAAGTTATGTTTACACTATATTGTAGTCTAGTAAGTGTGTGATGGCATTCTATGAAAAAGCACATATCTTAAGAATATTTTATTGTTAAAAATGCTAATGATCATCTGAGCTGATAGTGCTGATAGTTGCCACAATCTTCAACTCATAAATAATGTCATATCTGCAAAGTGTGAGGAAGGAAGCACAATACAATGAGGCATGCCTGTACAGTTCTTATGTTAAGAAAACATAAGTACTCTAATAATCACATAAAATTATCTACAAAACAAATTTTTATTCAGTGAATAAATTACTTAGATTCTTTACCACTGGCACATCGGGTAAGACAGTGCTAAAATCTTCAGAACATCTTTTACTTCCAGATGATAATTTTGTTGTGTCTGCAACTTCACCATTAGGCAATATGCCATCTGCAAACCACACTCTCTTCTGTTCTTTGGAGCACAGTCCTAGAATCAGTTGAAAAAGCAAATCATTTTAGTTTGGTAATATTGCAATGATGTAATATGAAATGGGTCAAGAAATGTTTTCAAAAGCTTATACAATTCATTGGCAAGCCCTGCATTCTCAGGACTGCAAAAGCCTAGAAAAAATTACTTTTTGTGATTCATCTATCCTGAGTAGAGTTCATTTTTATGTAACTCATACAAAGGGAGCATATTAGACCAGGTATGGCTGTTGGAGCCACATGCCCTGAAAAGGAAGGTTCAGAGAGATTACATCTTAAAGATACTGGAGGAAGATGTAAAGTCTATATTATTGAAGCTAAATTTCTGAGTGTGGAGTAGTGATTTAGTCAGTTTTCCATTGCTATAACAAAATACCTGAGAAAACAACTTAAAAGTAGGAGATATTTAGTTCGACTCATGGTTTCAGTGATCATTCCAAGGTTGTTAGATCCCATCAGAGTGGCCTATGGCAAGGCAGGATATCAAGGCAGGAAGGGCATGGGAGAGTAAAGTTTCTCACCCAATGAAAACCCAGGAAGCACAGAAAGGGAAAGCAGTAAGGGGTAGGGAGAAGACACCCTTTCCAGTGCATACCCCCAGTGACCCTCCTCCAACTAGGACTCACCTCTGAGTCCCCAAAACCTCCCAATATTATCATCAAATTATGAATTCAGCAATGGATTAATTCACTAATTAGGTCATATCCCTTGTAATCTAATCATTTCCCAAAAGCTCCACCTCTCAATACTGCACTGGGGACCAAGCCTTCAACACATGAACCTTTGGAGACACTTGTGGGGACTGAAAAAAATTTAGGGACTAAGGCACAGAGATTAAAGTGGGGATCAGAGCATAAGCAAAGAAAAACATACAAAGGACAGATAAAGAAATAAAAAGTCTAAAAATAGAAAACAGGATCACTTGTACACTCAAGAGATCGCTTCTTACTTTCTTTTAACATAACATGGTAATATTCTTTGTTTTACAATATGATCTCAAACTTTATTACTACTACTGTTTATTCCCAATTTTGGAGGAAATGCTAGGTATCACCATAAATATTTGTTCTGTATTCTATAAAATATTCACAGAGGAAGGTTATGAAAATTAATGTTAAGTGATTTTAGAACAATATGAAAATACAAAAGGTGCAACATCTCCTTTCCAGAACAAAACAGAGTTAACACTGAAAAAACTGGAATCATACACGAGTGTGTATGTGTGTGTGTGCGCGTGTCTGTGTGTCTGTGTAACATGGTAACATGCATGGATATATTAAATAAATTATCTTTCTTGTATTTGCAGTATTTTATAATTTAATAATTTAGGTTGTCAATATAATATGTAAATATTTTAGATACAAATTTACTCATCTTTAGAGCTTTACTGCGCAGCTATATATGCTGAATCTCCTTATTTCAGTTAAAAATGGAAAATAGTTACTGAGTAATAAACGAAAACCCAAAACAGGTGTCAGAAGGAATCAAATTTTCCTTTAGCTGATAATTAGTAATTTTCTAATAAATTACTGCCTTTGTTCCCTAGACTAATGTTTAAGAACATATGTGGGCTTTACTCAAGATCCAAACAACAAGTTGTTAAAAAACAAAAATGAAAAAACAACAAATAACTCAGATTTAAAAATATGTTTTATGGTGGTACACATCTGTAATGTCACTACCCAGGAGGCCAAGGGAGTAGGATCATTTGAGTCCAGGAGTATGAGACCAGCCTGAGTAACATATTAACACTCTGCATCAAAAAAAAAAAAATTAAAAACATTCTATTATTGTGGTAAAATATACAACTAAAACAGATTTTTAAAGGAAAGGAGACATGTCAGTTATTTATTGTCGGAGCCAGCAGTGAGACCTTTGCCTCAGTCCCTTGGAGCTTTCTCACAAGGCCAGATGCCAAATCACACAGGCATGGTCCCACTGCTGGTTCCGACAATTTACCTGTTGTCCCTAAAACCCAAGCCCACGTTTGGTACTAGGTTGGAAAGTACAATTCCCAGCCTTCTTTACTAGCTAACTGGCTATGGACACGCTCTAACAATGGCAGGATGGGGGAAACCAGAAGAGGGAAGAGAAGGGATTCTTTTGCTCTACTTTCTGCTAAGACTCTTGCAGCAGCAGTACCATCCACCATCACCATCAGATACTCCTCACATCAATCCTGGAGCTCTCCTTCAGTCATCTGAACACAAACCCTGTGAGACCCCTTGATGGTTACAGCATTTTATGGTGTTTCCCCAGAGGTCACAGCTTCAGTCTTGTGGTACTCCAACCCCATACTCCCAGGTCTGAGAGCCAAGCAACATCTTGTACCCTGCTCTGGATTCTAGTTATACTTGTCTTCTCCCTTTCATTTCCCCAACCCTAGAGGTGGTAGCTTAGTTTTTTTCTTTGTTTGGGAGGCAGTACTGGGGTTTAAATTCTGGGCTTCGTTCACACTTGCCAGGCAAGCACTCTACCACTTCAGCCATGCCTCTGTTTTGAAAGACTAGTCTTCCAACATACATGTGTAACCAATTCCCTGTATTAAATCCCTTCTGACATTTAGTCTTATTTATCTTTAGTCAAAGACTCAGTATTTTTCTTCTTGTTACCTTCAACACTTGGATGTTTGAGTGCTGAGACAGGCAACACTGTAGGTGAAGGTATACTGGATGCTTGGGTCTCCTGAAGTGGCTGAACAGTGGCATATTCATCAGAATTAGATTTAAGACTAGAACCAGTTGGACTCATCATTCTTTCAAATGCCTGAGCTATAAAGGGGAAAAGAATAGTATTAAAAACTCAGATGTTTTGAACTTCAAAGTAAATTATAACAATTATTTGATTTTCCAAGTTGTAAGGAGAAAGAACTAAACGGCCAATCAAGAAAAAGAAGTGGCACTTGGCAAAAGATACTGAGTGACTAGCACAGATTCCTTGCTTTAGTTGGCAGCACTCCACTTTGATAAGCTACTTATGACTTATTTCAGTATTATATTTGGCACAGGTTTAGTATCTACTATCGAAAATAATCTTTTCTAATATAAGTGTCTCTGTTTTATACTCCTGGGGACAGACTGATTCTTTAAGACATAAACCATTATCATTCCTTGGTTTAAAAGTCCTGTAATGGCTAACTGGATTGAAAATTTAAGTTGTTAAAATGACTCATTAGCTCCTGTATGATCTGCATCCCTACCTCTTCCAACTTCCTGCTTACCTATTTTCTTCATTTCTTACTACAATCCCACTCACTCACAGTGATCCAGCCACCCAAGGCTTCCTTGTTCTTCAACAAGTTTAATCGAGCTCTCCCCTAACTTAGGGTCTTTGTTCTTATTATTCTGTCTGCCTAGAATGTTCTTTCCATAGGTACTCAAATAGCTCTAGTGTCTCACTTCCTTCAAGTCTCTATTCACATGTCATATTATCATAAAGCTTTACTTGTGACCACCTTATTAAAAAAACAAAACACTACTTCTTGCCACTAACTTGTTACTACTTATTCCTTACACTTTAAATTTCACTTTAGGATATTATAATTATCTGATATCCTGATTACTATCCTTCTCTCCCCACATTCATAAGCTCTGAAAACAAGACATCTATTTTGTTCTCAGCTGGAGTACAGAATAGTGCCTGAGTATTGCTGAATGATTTTTTTAATCAAAAAATGCACAGCAGCACTGGTAGCTCTCCCTTCAGCATTTCTCCAAACCAATCTATTGTGACTACTGCCACAGCTAAAACAATCTTGCTTAAGAGCCACTGAATGACAGCGCTTTTAAGAAATGGCTTCCACTAACCAAGTGAAGTCCATACATCATACACTGAGTTTCAAAGTTATTTCCACCTTGCCCCAAATCTATCTAACACCATTCACATGCATGTTTTCTTAAAGCTCAGACAATCTCAACACAACATTTTCATTATCCACAATCTCTACTCAATCTCTTCATATTCACTGAATATGTCTCACAACCCTTGAATCATCTTTCTCTTATTTGACAGTAATATCTAAATGATCATCTCTATCATCTTTAACCCTATAGTTGATGTTAAGAAAACTTTTATTCATATTTTCTTGTATAAATTAATGATAAATAGCCACTTAAATGAAACTGTATGCTATAAGATACAAAAATAGAATAAATAAAATTGGTAACTAAATAAATTCATTCCACAATATTTATAAACCAAAGTTTGACCTTAGTATTCTATTGAGTGCTAATCATTTTATCTTCTCCCCTCTTGGGACTTTACACTCAGAATATGTCTGAGTATAAAGACATATACATCACCCATGAATCTGACCTGTCAACTCATATAATATATCAAATCTTCATGACTTTTTTTTGTTTTGTGGTACTAGGGCTTGAACTCAGGGCCTTCACCTCGAGCCACTCTGCCACCCTTTTTTGTGATGGGTATTTTTGAGATAGGGTCTAGCAAACTATTTGCCCGGGCTGGCTTCAAACCGCAATCCTCCTGATCTCTGCCTCCTGAGTAGCTAGGATTTCAGGTGTGAGCCACCAGCACCCAGCAGTTTTATTTATTTTTTTAAGTGGGGGAGATAAATATGCGGGAGCTTGCTCTAAAATTTCTGAATTCCAGCAGACTTCTTTGGCTAGTATAAAAAAAAAAAACCCAAAACAACTATGAGTACTTAGCCTCTTCAAAAACAATGATGGTAATATGAAAATATTTTTACTCTATGAGAAGTATTTATACTCTATTATCTTCCAGAGCACAGGTCAACAGCAGGGAGTATAACAGCTTACCTCAGGCTAACAGACTCACATCAGAGATTTTTGGAGAATTGCTGAAAAAAATTATCTTCATTCAAAAGAGAAAAACAAATTATTATCAGGTAATTATTCTCCTTGCTGACAGGGAGCAGTGCCTGAGCTAGTGCACAAGCCTGGTAAAAACTGCCCCAAGTAATTTTTGCTGGGAATTCAACTGTCAACAAATCTTTGAAAATGCAAGTACTCAAAAGAACAAACATGTACTTAGGGGGGAACACAATGTAACATACACAACATAAAACCTGTGAGAACTCAAAGAAGACCACGAAGAATACTGCTGAAAATGAAAACTAGCTAGAGAGCCAGGGAACAATGAAAGCACACACATAATATTCTAAAACTAAGACAGAAAAAAAACATGAGACAATAATGTACAAATGCCATGGCAGTCCTATGAGTTTATAAAACTGAATGTATTACCACCTTATATCTAATTCTCATTTCAGGTTATTTTGAAAGGATATGAACTAGTATCTTGCCTTATGCCACTTACTGGTATTTTATAAAAGTCTAGATCACGATGATGATGGTAACAATGATAATGACAAAACAAATAGGCAGATGAAATGTAGCATTTAGGGACTTGGTACCTGTTAAAAGTTAATGAACTGCCACTCCAGAAACTGAATGCTTCCTTTCCAGACTGGTAGTATTAATTGTGAGAGTGGAACAAAAAGAAGAGAAACCAAGCCTTGGGATGTCCCACCTAAGTCAGATAAGTCAACACTAGGTCCTTGCCTTAAGAAAATAAAGAAGTTTATCTTTGTCACAATCCAATTGTCTTTAACATACATCAATTACTAGAAGAAAACATGTCAGGTCAATACTCACCTTTATTAATAGTCTCATAGCAGATTACACATACTCTTGCTTCCTTTTCTAGATACTGAAGTTTACATTTCCTATTACAACAGGCACCACAAAATACCTATGAAGAATAAAATACCAAATCTGTTTTTGTTTCAAGCATATTTATACCTACTAGACACGGGGGAGGAAAGGCCCAAAACTAATTAACCCAAACCCATTTTCCTTATTATATGATTCATTTTTCTACCATAATCACAAGTAGAATTTTTTTTTTTTTTGTCAGTACTGGGGTTATGAACCCATGGCCTTGTGCTTGCTAGGCAAGCACTTGACCATCTGAACCATGCCCCTAGTACTTTTTGCTTTATTATTTTTCAGACAGAGTCTTGCACTTTTTGTCCAGGCTGCCCTTGGACCATTATGCTACCACTATTCTTCCTGCATTGTTGAGATTACAGATGTGCCCCACTGTGCCCAGCTTGTTTGTTGAAATGTGGTCTAACTTTTTGCTCAGGTTGGCCTCAAACTACTATCTTCTGATTTCCACCTACTGAGTAGCTGGGGTTATAAGCATGTACCACCAGGCCTAACCCATGAGAATTTTTCCATGATTTTTTTTTTAACTTAAATGAGGTTTCAGTGATTTATAACCATCTCTCTGAAAAAGAGGCAATTCCTTTAAAACAATTTCATTAACTGGAACGGGAACTTACTTCAACAAAATACGTTTTTCATTTAAAAACCTGTTGGGGTTGAGGATATACTTCAGTGATGAGCTTGCCAAGTACGTGCAAGGCCCTGGGTTTCATCCCTAGTGCTGCAAGGAACAAAGCTTTTTTTGTTGTTGTTCTATTTTTGTAAGTAAAACATTATTTTGCTTAAAATGAGTAGGATGGTCTGAAGCCAACATACTACTAAAACAATGCTAAATAAAAGGTGCAATATTATTTCTAAGGCAATTTCCTTACAGTTTATAGCAATCTCTTTATCCTTTGACTACTCTAAGACAGACAGAATGAGGGAAGGTATAGCTGGCGTTCTGTGTTTCCCTGGGCAGTGATCACAACACTAGCTCCAGAGTAGTCTTAAAACTAAATACTCAAGGACAAAGGGGGATGGGGCTGAATTTGGAACACCAGTATTAGACAAATAAGGACAGTATTCTCAGATTTCACTAAACTTACTTATAAGTGTTCCTTATTTCTCAACATATAATGAATACATATCACAACTATCAAGGAATGTGCAAAATGGTAGTGCTTCATGTACTTTCATGATAGGGAGGTGAAAAACACTAATTTTTTTAACTAATTCAATCATGAAGTCACCTGTTAATCAGTATTTTTGACATTACATTTCATTAAAAATGTCTCAAAAAAATAAAAGACTTGGCTAGGGATATAACTCAATGGTAGAACACTTACCTAGTATGTGTAGTATATACAGGCCCTGGATTCAATCCCTGGTACTACAAAAGAATAAAAGGAAAATGTTTTTCTAACTTACTTTTCCACATGCTCGGCAGTGGTGTCGCCGTTTTGTAAAAGTAAATTTGACTTGGCATTTCATACAGTTTGGAGCTTCTGAATCAGGAACCCAAGTCGGTTGCTTCTGGCCCAAAACCAATCCTTCTTTGCAAGTGTTTTCAGGCAGAGAGTCCTCATTTGCAGCTACAAAACTGGACCCACTTTCAAAATTACTTTCTATATCAATGTAATTAGAGTTGAAGCTAATCTGAGGATCATTTGCAGGATCCGCAGTACAAGTGGTTGGAGCCAAGGTATTTGCTATGCTGGGTTCACTTTCTAGCATTTTTGGAACATCTGGGTTATTAACTTCCTTGGAACTCCTTGTTCTTGATGGAAGGCTAAGCAGTTGCTTAGGTCTAGCCCCTCCAACATGAATAGACTGACTGTTAATATCAGAGACTGGTAATTCATTTATGTCAGACTTACTAGTAGGTAACCCTTGTTCAATTGGAATTATGCTTTTTTTCCCTGCAGATAGGCCACCATTTTCTGTTGTATTCTGTTTATCAACTGTTTCATAATTCATATTACCATCATCACTTTCTCCAGTAGCTCCTGCGTCAGCATTGAAATATAAGTCATTGACATTTCTATCATGTAAGCCTTCCATATCTTCCTGACTCATTTGAGATTTTGAATCACTTACATTTTCTTCGAAAGACTTTATGTTAGTGGTCTGAAGATATTGTCCCGTCAGAAAAGCATCAAGTTCAGCGTCACTAATTAGTGTGCTACTTTTCATGCTTTCATCAATATTAAAATAATCTAAGTCTTGCCCATCCATATCACTGCTTGAAAAAGTGAGACCTTCACAACGGTCAGGAGACTCTAGGCCATTAGCACCAGGGAGCTCTGCCTGAGATTCTTCAGCTATAGAATTGGTGTTATCAGGGTACTCCAATGATTCAACTCTGATTATCATCTGCTCAGGTTCAACCTTTCCTTCCCCCTTCTTTTCATTTACTGGCTGAAGAAGTATGGCTTTGCATTTTTCCTTTTTCAAAAGATTGGTCTCCCTGAAGGGCTCCCCATCTAGAACAGAACTCTTCTGGTTTTCTTCATGCGTAGTCACTGCCTCTTCTTCATGATCTTTAGATTCATTCAGAGGTAAAACATCATCCTGTGCCTTACTGTCAATTAATGATCCACACAAAGTCCCAGATAATGGAAGGCAGGACAAGGAAGAGTGTATACCTTCACTTGAATCTTGTAAAGTTGAAGAGCACTCTTGGGTTCTACTGTTATTATCTTTAAGGTCTAAATTTTGTGAGTATTCTTTTGCAGATTGTTTTATAAACACAGCAGTTCTATCTTCCTCAAATGAAAAGTCAGGTAATTTGGATTTTTCTTCTCTTGAATTTGAGTCATTTAGGCATAAACCTTCATTAGTTGGAAGACTGCCAGGTAAAGTACTCGTGCTGCCTCCTTCTTCTAAACATTCTGTGGCACTTGTAACTGCCACATCTACCTCCTCTTTTACTAAACAGCCATCATCTTCTAATAATTCACATGGCAGGCTCCTACTCTGTGGGTTATCTTTGACATCAAATATGTTAGAACTTTGCTGAGTGAAAACAGATGACTTGTCAAAGTCAACAACTAGTTCTAACTGGTTAGAGATCTTTTTGTCCTTCAAAATTTCTACTCCATTGTATTTACAAGACTCTGAAAGTGTTTTATCTACTTTTATGCCCAACCCTTTGGTTCCATGAATTTCTCTACTTTGTAATTCAGAGTTGACATTATTCTGTTTTTCTCTAACAGTATTACTACCATGGTCTGTTGAAGAAACAGAAAGAGTACCTAAAACTGAAGCTGAATCCAATTCAATCAAAGAATCTACACTAGACTTAAAGTCATCTGGCAGTAATTTTTTAATGTCTTCTTCACTATTAGTTGCATGAACTAAGTTACCCATGTCACTTATCAGGTCACAGACAGGTTTACTACATCCTCTTATATATAAAGGCTGGATTTCATCTGAAGTATTGCCATCCACAGAAGAAAGGAGATCAAGTCCAGTTACATTTTTTTCATTCTGTATAGAAGTCGGTTCCTCAGGTGTTTTTTCATTCAGGAAAATCTCATTTGTTTTACAGCATGTTTCTGATGAAGCACAACTATTCAAGCATTGTTGGTCCTTTGCTAGCAGTGAAGTGAGCTGTGAAGAAGCCAACTCTGAAGAAACTGAACAGGGGTTAGAATTATATGCATTTTGTGCATCTTGAAGATAATCTTGTTCATCTAATTAAAAACAGAGATACAAAATCATTCAGGAGACCCAAGTCAAATAAAAATTATTATGAAGACAGTATGTTTTCTAAGATTTCTAAACTAAACTTTTTATTTGAATTTAAAGTATTTTCTGTTTTACTTTTGAATAGAAATGTCATAAAGTGATAAAAATTCCACTCAATAACTCATTTGCATATAAAAACCAGACTAAGGAAGAGCTGAGAAACAATCTAAATGATATGTTTTGCCCTCTAGTTTCCTAACTTCATTTGAGGAAATATCATTTCTCATGGTAACGAAATCTCAACTTATATATAGTTCTTCCAAGTTGTTTTTAGCTTACTCATATGTAGGTTTTAAAGATTTTTTTTTACAGCTACATTTGTAACTGCAAAGAAACATCTAGTTTCTGTCTATTTCTGGCTATTGGTTCCTGTCTATGTAAGAATAAACTAATGTTATAATTTAAACAAGTGAACTTCTTAGGGAAGATAACTATGTTACTAAAATTGAAATAAAATTTTACTAAGAGTACTCTATTCCTGAGATATTTTAAAATTCCATTAAGGGAAAGTGGAAAAGCAACAAACCTGGGTTCTGCTCAAAATCATCAAGGAGTTTGTCCAAGTCACTAACAGCTGCTTTGAAATAACTGTCCATCCTACCTGTAGACTTATTCAGAATTTAATTCTTGTATGTCTAGAAAATAAAAATATAGTATTTCATTTAATTCTCAAACATGTAGGTATTATGCCACCTATTCCATGCCAAGAAATACAATCAAGAAATAGAAATAAAAATAAAATTTAATAGTACTCCTTAGAGGAATCTACAATTTAGGTTGAAAATGTCTTTATGTAAAAATGACATGAAAACCAACTCCTACAATATAATATTGGCATATATAAGCTAATATGAATTTTAAAACACTCATGTAAATAACTCACAGGTCAAAGAATTCATGACGATAAAAAGATAAAAATGCTTATCAACACTACATATCAAATAATATATGCTACGTACAAATAAAAATACTGCATGGAAACCTAAAAGTTAGTTTTATGAAAAGATAATAAAGGAGATGATCTCTAGTTTGAGGCAGGAATCTATCAGCGATTAATAGGATAATATCAAAAGGACAAAGAAACTGAGTCAAAGGGGCTCTTACTAAGTACTTCGTCTTAATAAAGACTACAAAAGACTGAAAAGGAATCAAATAGATTTTTTATGAAAAGGAATCAAATAGATTTTTTAAAAATCCAGAGGCCATGATGATACTATAGTCAAAAACAAAACACTAACCTATATTTCCTTAATAAATTAAGTAAAAAGAGCTAGGAGTTTATCCTGCCCTGGTTTACAAAATATATTTTAGGGTGATAAAATAGTTACTGAGTGAAAGTTCTTTAGGTAAGAACTCCAGTTAATAAATGCAGAATGATTTAAAAAATTAAATCATCTCTTCATAGTTCATAATGCAATAAATGGACTAAGCAATGGTTATCAATGAATGTTAAACTGTTAAGAGGAAAAGGTTCATGGGAACTTCACACTGCTGGGATCAGATCAATGCATTTGAATCTAATGATCAATTTCACCATCAATAAATGTGGAAGAACACCATCACATAGAAAATACTCCTGCCTAAAAAAAAGCTGACCCTAAATCTAATCAAACTTTTAGAACTAACTGCATGTTTTCAGGAAATTCAAGCACAAAAATACAAGTTAAATGGCATAAAAAACAAAGCAATCATCGAAGTAATACAGAATGTATAGCACTAACACAATGTTCTTCAAATTGTCTAAGGTCAATGACTAGTTTTTTTATACTTTCAAATTGTTGTGAACTCATACTTTTATAAAATATATAAAACAATAAATTTTGTAATAATAAATACAAAGAATACACATTATTAAGCAAATTTAAATGGCTGCCTGAAGTGGACAACAGGAGTGGGAAATAGGGGATAAAAGACAGTGCCATGAGTTTTGGTTACCTATAGTCCAGAAAAGAAAATCAGAGACAGAAACAAAAATACTTTAAATACAGATTAAAAAGATAGAGAAGAAAAGAAAAATGAATGAACTGCAAGACCTATATGAAAAGATTACCTAAAATACAGCCCAGAGAATGAGGAAATGCTAAGTATTAAAAAGAAGTTAAGAGGCATAAAGGATGGAATGAGAATGGAGTTCCATAAGAAGAGAGCATGGAACAACTCTATTTAAAGATAATACTAGAAATTTTTCCAGACTGATGAAAAAGTCAACAGATACAGTGAATGCACTATACCAAAGAATATAAATAAAGAGAAACCTATAGTCACATTACAGAAAAACAACTTAACCCCAAAGATAAAGAGTCAGAGTGAAAAGGTCACTTCAAAGGAATAATAACTGTGCTGGCAACAAACTTAAAACAACAGGTATACTTCAGAGGTATTTTCAGTAACAATAGTATGACATCCTAATTCAATAAAGCCTATTAGTTTCTTTGTAAATTGTGATTATACCATACATATAAAAGAGTACACAAAACACAGAGATCAAGCCAATAAAAGGAATTTGGAGGAAAAGACAATACTTTAGAAGAAAACTTCTTTAGAAGAAAACTTCAAAGAATATTCTTAGAGAGAAAGAAGCAATGCAACTAGGAAACAGGAACAGGAGCCATAGATAAGGAACATATGGAGAACAAAAATGATCATGAAAACTGATCACAGAAAGCTTAAATAGAGGTTTGTGGGTTGCAGTGGAGGCAGTGCTTACAGGGACACTAATAACATTAAATGCATATATTATAGCTACTTGGTAAGTGAAGGCAGGAGGATCATGTATTCCAGGCCAGCAGGGGCAAAGTGAGATCCTATCTCAGAAACAAAATACAAAGAAATACAAAGAAAAGGGCTAGGGAAATGGCTTAGTAGGTAGAGCACTGGCCCAGCATGTGTGAAACCCTGTGATCCCAGCTATGTGGGAGGCCATATAGAGGAGTACTGTGGTCCAAGGCTGGCCTTGGGCAAAAATGGGAGACCTTATTTGAAAAACAACTAAAGCAAAAAAGGACTAGAGACATGGCTCAAGTGGAAGAGCACCTGCTTAGCAAGTGCAGGCCCTGAGTTCAGTCTCCTGTACTGCAATAAATGAATGAATAAATAAATAAATAACCCAACACTTGTTCGTGATAAAAAACCCTCAATAAATTATGAGTACAGGAGAACTTCAATTTAGTAGAAAATATTTATGGCTAACAGTATATTTAATGCCAAAAAACTACTTTCCCTCAAAGACGGGTGGTGAAGGAAAGGATGTATTTTCTTACCTCTCCAATTTGATGTAATCATAAAAGCCCTAGCTAGTGCAATGAAACAAGAAAAACAAAACACTTTTTGGATAGAAATAAAACTGTCTCTGTAACATGATTTTCTACATTGAAAAAATCCCCCAAAATTAACCCCCAAAATGGATTAAATGAAGCAAGGTTGCATGATATAAGGTCAATGCACAAAAGTCACTTGTGTTTACATATTTGAGAATGAACTGGAACTTTTAATTTAAAAATACTATTTACAACAGCACCTTAAAAATGAAATCGCTCAAGTGGTACACTTGCCTAGCAAGCACAAAGGCTCTGACTTCAAACCCCAGTGCTAAAAGAAAGAAAAGAAAGAAAGAAAGAA